CAATGTTTTATTGCAAATGAAAAGCTCCAAGTCCTTTTCTCAATTCTTGATAGTTAACAGCTTGCCCTAACTTGCTCTCAACAATTTTCATGCAGGCTCAGAGGATATTGTGCATGTGCTCCAGTATAGAGTATGTCAATCTACGAGATCGAGTGAAGCAAAATTCTTTCTTCCTTTTTTACTTAAGCTTGGAGAATCGTTCTTGTAAATTTGGTGTTTGAATGATGAATAGATAATCTGCATTAGTCGCTAGCATAACTTATCTATTTATCTGATTTCACTGTATCTCCTCTAATCCTGTACTAAAGCTTGAACAACTGTTATAAAAAGTTACAGCATTTTTTACGGGTCAATTTTTAGAGCACATTTTTCCGCAGAATTTTTACATGCTTTATTCTTACTTTACTGGTGCCATAACGTGGTCTCGTTTTCACAAGACCTTCGACAGGCATCGCTTCTTTTTTCAGCCAGGTACAAGGCGTTATCTATGTTATTCTAACAAACATATTCGTGGGTCAACCCGATGCTCATGAGCTGGCTGTACAGACATGTGTCGACAAAAATTCGAATTTGAAGACTGTGGTAACCTGGAGTGGTTGGTACACTTATGCAATTGAGGTGCTCCTGGTAGCTTCAAAAAGTACCGCAGTGTTTCAGTTCCGTTTCTGATATGGGCAGGAGGTGTTTGTTTGTTGATTATTCTATTCGTCGGCCTTTTTTGGCCGAAATACAAGCGACGTGACTATGAAGCCCAGGCTAAGAGAGATGTTTGCGGTTCAGTGAGTACCTACGAAGAGCGCTTTTAGTTATATTGTTTCTTATACGAACTGTATTTATCACGTGTTGCAATTTATTATTTCTTTACATTTATATTCTATAACTAGAAGCTAATGTTCATGTACATCCTTGTTTACAATTATCTTTTTTATTTGAAGAAGCGTATAAAATCCTCTTTGTTCATACGCTGTTGATAAGATAAGGCGCATGTGTAGTGCTGAGTGTAGTAGTCAACGAAGTAACAATTGATTTGCAACCAGAGGATCTTTGATTTTGTGAATCAAA